TCGACACACACGCAATATATAGTAGTAGTGTCTTCGGTGAATGATATGATTGCTTGATGTCGCGTTAAGGCTTAAGCGGGATCAGTCGATTGTATGATTTATCTCGAGATGCTAATATATCTTGCTACCATGCTCGACGAAACTGCTGTTTGTTTAATAAACGAATATCTTCACCAGAGAGGGAAGAGGTAGCATATGAAATCGCTTTCATTGGTAATTGTAGATCGTGTAACACACCATCGAAAAATATTCGTTTATGATTAGGAGCGGTTTATATAGGACTTGATTTGGTTAAGTTTGCTAGCCAATTTCTCGATTTCTTAACATACTTTCCAGAGTTAAGAATTATAGCCTAAACATACGAGATTGGAAAGGAACTTCGTATGCGATTGAAAAAAAGGGAATAAAGTAATCTTGCGTGCGATTGTGACGAATAATTCAGCTTGGAATCCATCGTTCGACAGTATATTATCCTGATGGTATTTTATGCGGCGGAAGAGCATCGCTAGCATAGAGTTGTGTGACATTTCGTTGTCGTACCACTGTGAACCGTTTAGCAATGAGAGACCAACCTCTTGCTTCCGTCTCCACCACCGTCCTGCTTGCTCTTCGTCCCGACGTTTCCACCCGATGTTGTCCCTTCCTTGTTGTTGGCACCGGCTTCTGCTCTACTGCTCCCTTTAGACTCTCCCTTCTTGCTTTCTTCCACTTTCTTCTTCTCTCCTCCATCTGCAGAGACAATCAAGGTAGCATAGTCACTTTCTGCGAAGCCAGATTTCTTCTCCCTCCCTAACACTCCTGCTGCTTAGTGGCCTGTATTTCCTGCATGGAATTTTCCCGAACCACTAACAGATTGCGGAGCAAATTATGATGAAGATCGCATGATTGCAATATCACAAATTCGCTCTTCAATGGTATAATCCATAGCGACCCTACTTTATCTTTGTTTTCTTTCGATTTTCTAATAACTTAAAGTTACCTTTGTACCTTTACACGAAACGGACTCTGAACCAAAGCCTAAATTAAAAGAAACATTTCAGGAAATCTAAAGGTAATGCGGGAAAGAAGAAAGGAGAGTAGACGGAAAAGGAGAAAAAAAAGCTGAAAAGGTTGAAAAAAGGAACACATACGCGCGCGTGCGCACGTAGAAGGTTATGTCGATAACTATGATTTTTGCGAGAGCAACATATCTGCACGTTAAAATAACATGCGATAATTTTAAGTCAATAGTTTTAAGGCATTGATTTTTCCGGCGTGATAAATAACGATGCATCATCAACCACATACTGGGAAGAGTTTTGACTTGAGATACTCTTGAGTCTTCTTGTATCCACACAATTTGGAGACCAAACGATCCAACGATGCTCTATGTGGTTAGGTAGAATTAAATGTAACTTTATATCAAACTCTAACGTTAACTAACTTATAGACTAGCACTTATGGGATAAACTTGTGGAACATAATATCAACATTAACTTTGTTGGTATAAAACTGCGCGCAATAACGTCGGCGAATGTACGTTTCATTTCAGTTGAAACCTTGTCGATCATCGTGCCATGATACATTGCTGGTATATTACTGCTGTCATGTCCACATGACAAATGGGTGTGTATCCATTCCTGCACGTGTGCTTGATTGCACATATGAAGCTCGAAGATTGGATGTAAAATGAAGCATGAAGAGTAACTTTGTTGACAAATTCAGCGCGCTCGTAATTCTGAATAGGTGAGGGTTTACACGTAGATAAACATGTCCCTTAGTCTTGATGCCACATATTTAAATAACTTACTCGTGACCATCGACAATAGTAGCGCTATATTTATTCCTTGAAATCTTAGACTATTCATACATACATATACATATAAATAGATATGTGTATATGTATGTATATATGTATATACATATATGTACATATATACGTGAAGTCCAATACATGATAAAACTTACCCTTATGCCTCTCGTGAGATTCTGTCTGAAACATACAAGATAACATACACGATTACTTTTGTTTATTTTCTTTTTTGTCCCATCCCTGCCTCTCCCTTCTTTAAATGTTAGAGTCACGATTTAATTAAATCCGTTACCTCCTCCGCAAGGAGATTTTCTTCATCTTCGCCGATAGTTAGATTGATGGAATCTTCATTGTCGATACCATTAGCCTCAACGGTCGAAACTGAATTAGTTGTGGTTTGATTTACTACAGTAGCTACATCAGATTCTACTTTTTTATCAGTAGTCTGTGTATTTTCAATTGAACTTTTATTCAATTGATTTTTAAGTTCCTGCTTGTGTTCCATTTCTTTACTAACATTATTTTGGACTTCATTTTGTTGTTCCTAGAATACTTGTCCATTTATTTTATAATTCATAAAATACATATAAGAAACATATTGACCACACTTACTTCTGTCTTGGATGCTGTTGTATCCTCTTCTGCAACAGACTTCGTTTCTACTTTGAGTTTTGCTTCGTTACTATCCAATATCTCCATACTTTCTTCCTTCTGGTTCTCTAATGTATCAACAGATTCATCTTGATTTGTTGTACCTGTTACTAAAATCAAAAGGGAAATATAGATAGTTTGAATAAATAACATTAAATTTGTCTCTCAGAAGGCAAAATAACATACCACTGTTTTTCCTTGGGCTAACTTTGCATAATCCACCACAAGGTACAATCAAGTATTCATCAGGATCTTGACCTTCGTCTGTTATGGCCTTTACACATCAACATAATAATGACATTACCTTAATTATAATAACAACAACAGTTTAAAAAATATAAGATTTCCGGATTACGAACTCTAATTTCATTAGCTAACTGTAATTAGAAAATAAAATTTGTATTTTAAAAAGGTAATATTATAGTGGTTGTTTAACGAAATTAATTTTCTGTAATCATATACGTAGATTACTACTAAAATAAACTATCAATGATATCAAGAGGGTTAAAATGGCGATAAAATAACGAGTAATGCTATTAACGATATCTTAATAAGCAGTATGAGAAGTAAGAAAATTTACTTTGGAAAGACGCTCGAGAAGTGCAGCTTTATTGCCAGTTTTGTCTAGCCCGCGTCGTTCAAGTTCTGTTTTTAGATCTATAACTCGCAGTTCAGTAAGCTTTTTTCCTTCAACTTCGGCCATTATTCTTATACAAAAGGATCCGACAAAAGGCACGCTTATGCTTTCGATTTTATCGTTCTTGCACGTATAATTTTCTAAACAAATTATCGTACATGAACTAACTGGAGTAATAAAATTATGATAGACTAAAAGAACAATTAATTGGTTTCTCAAAATCACGAAGAAGATGTTACGACCACACACTGCGATACGAACTATCCATCGTCGTCGCCATTTAACGGAAATGACCGGAAGTAATTCTCGCATAAAATGAATAGAATAACCAATCTAAAAAATCAAAAATGCATTTCATTGGATTATTACTAGAATAAATTTTACTATACAAAATTTCACGATACGAATTAGAAATTATGTAACATTGAATATGACAAAAAGTATAATATTTTCTAGATCTACATATGTATGCAGGGTAGATACTTATAAACGAATAGAATAAAGTGGGTAGTAAGAACGTTGGTTAGTCTACCAATCAAAGAATTCTTACACTAGTTACAATATTGAAAATGAGAAATATCATTAAGCAGCAAATTATACGTGATTATATTTACATTTATATATAAAACAAAATTGAAATGATTGAAATGTTAAAAATTCAATTACTTTATAATTTATACATCAAAAGACCTAGAACTTGTTAGGTGTTGTTAGAATTTTTATGCTCTTGAAGCTGGCTGTATATACTCAGTATTACTCACGTATTCTGTTAACTTTACTGTCTTTAATCAAAAATGTGTATATGATGTATTGATTTGCATGTTACATGTAAGGTGAATACGCTCGTTTGACGTTATATATGTGAAAAGTTATAGATTTAAACGGTACATCTTTTACATTGATTTGTCAATATGCCTGTAAGTAACATGCTTTAATGTAATATTGAACACTACGTGTACTATTGGTAGATCATTTTTATTGACACTTACTGTTACCATAGATTTTCTTATGTACATACGTTTTATTCTTATCAAATTTATTATAGTACTATACGGACATGTCAGTTGTTTTTTATTATAGGCATATCATTCAAGTTTCATTGAAAATAATGGAAATGTGGGTAATATGGCACTTTTGCCAATTAGAACGCATTTTAGGGGCCCTGCACCTCCCTTCAACAATAAAGATCTAGATATAATTGACGAAGCATTGTATTTCTTTAAGGCAAATGTGTTCTTTAGGACATATGAAATTAAGGTATTAATTTTATCTTTATTTGGAGTTAAATCTATATTTGAAAAGCATTAGGAATTGCGTCATTTTAGAGCGAAGCTGATAGAGTTTTAATTTATATTACGTTATATATAACTGAGTGCTTGAAGAGATTACAGAAGTGTGCAACTCAAGCTCAAGCAACAAATGAAATGTATTCTCTTGCTATATCAAAATTTGACATCCCTGGTGATCCTGGTTTTCCTTTGAATTCTGTATATGCAAAACCAAGTAATCCCGTAGAAGCAGGTAATATAAATATTGCGTTAATTTTTTACCAGAAAGGATGCAGGTATTAGATAAAAAAATTGTTTCTTTTTCCACAGATACTATGAGGCAATATTTACAGCAAATAAGACAAGAAACAGGTGTTAGGCTTGTAGAAAAGGTATATGGTGAAGATGGTAAACCAAGCAAATGGTGGCTATGTTTTGCAAAGAAAAAGTTCATGGATAAGTCACTGTCTGGCCCTGGACAATAAAATATATTTTTTAACGCTATTTTTAGATTATATGTATAATGGATAAATACAAAAATTTGTTGCACGGAATTATGAGTTTTAATATCCCATCAAAATAAAAAAAATTTGAGACTTGTACATACAACTAAATCGAATATAAGAAAAAAGTATATAAAATAACCCATTAGGAAAGAAACATTTATTTCGTACAAGATATACCATAATATTGATACAAATATTTCTAATATATCAATGAAATGATGTATCGTATACACGTGAAGATCATTATTCGGAATACTTAAGAAATTTATCGTTTTCTGCGAAGTGACAAAGAGTTTCTTCTCAACCACGCTGCACGACGAGAACCACCGATAGTTTGTGAGTAACGGTGTCCTTTCCCTAAACCTCGCGAACTTCTGCCCGCTGATGTCTTTCCACGAAGTTCACGATGCTTATGTACTGCATTACATATCCAGTTAACTTTTGGATCATTACGTATTGCCTGAAATATAATCGAATATTAATAATACATCTCTTGTAACTGTATTGTAAATCTCTTTTACTGTATTTATTCACTCAGACATCCAAGGAAGATAAAAAATCACAATATTTCAGTAACATATAACAATATCATCATATTCTATTAAAGTAAGTGTACAAATTGTTCAAATATTATGAAAATTACCTTATGTGCTGGATCAATCAGGATAACTTCATAATATTTATATGAAGAATCCTGAGCTACCCAATAACTGTTTAAAACTCGTAGACCACCACAACGACGGCCAACACGTTCCTGAAGATAATTAAATTACAAAATATTATTTGTTTATTAATCAAAAAGTAAAAACAAAAGAGCAAGAAATGGTCTCTATATGTAAAGTGGTATCCCAGTTATGAACTTACCTCAGCAACAGACTGTAATTTTCTAGTAGGCTTCAACTGATTAACGCCATGACTTTTTGGCTTTCCATAAGTTGCACCTTTGGGAACAGGACGTTTACGACCACCTCTTCGTACACGAATTCTAAATATCACAAAACCTGCATATTGATAGTAAAATTCTCATGTGTATTATATTACATATACATAAATTTTACATAGTCTAAATTAGAAAAAAAAACAATGTCAGTATATACAAATCACCATGTAATTGTAAGAGTGGTGCATGTATATCTCATCATCTGTACTTTTTAAACATTCAATGTTGCAGATATTTTACGTGTAAAAATAAAAATAATGATAAAAAAATAAGTGTAAGAACTAAAATTATACGATTAAAGTAGATTAATGTAATGTAACTAGCTTGATTCGAAAATGTTAAAATTTGGTAAAGTTTGTCATTTTATATTTCCTATTGAGAAACTATGATTTATACCTTCTTTAGCTTTGTAACCCAAGCGACGTGCTTTATCGGGTCTAGATGGTCTGGGAGCACGATGCATTTTAGTCAATTGACGATATTGCCAACATCTGACACGAAGCAAGAATCGCAGCACATCGCTCTGCTTCTTGCGATACAACTCCTGCATATATTTATATGCACCCATTGCGAAGCCCTGAGAAAAAACAATACAGATACAAATATAATCATAACTGAATAAGCGTACAATTAAACTTAATCTAAAGAAGCATCAAGAAGCATAATTAAAATCAAGATGTCTAAGGAAATAAAAGGAAACGAAGCATGAGATACAATAAATGAAAAGGTTAACTTCATTGACACAATAAATATAGCATTCTCGTGAAAATAACGAATAAAATCATAAGAACATTTTGTACGAGTATTCTTGACAATAAATCTCTTCCACTAGCGATACAGAAATACGATTGGATTCTTGAGATATAACACGATTTCAAGCACGTAGCACTCACCCTCGACAATTGAAATAGAAGGAAGGGAAATATAACCTTTCTGGCGTCGACGTATTAAGCCACAGTATACTAAGTACTGAAGATAGTGTACTCGATGCTACAAATATCACGGGGACATCTATGGGAAGGAAAAAGCAACAAATTTTTTATGTGTTTCATCCACCGATAATGTAAGAAAAAGGTAAATGAAATCACCAGAATAGTTATCGGATTATAATCGTACAGTGTAGAAAAAACTTAATAATTGATGCACAAATTCATTCGAAATATCGAATTGAAGTTAGGAAGTTTAAGGTGATTCTAATGCGCATTTAAATATGTAGATAAGTTCAGTAAGATGAATATAACAAATGAATAAACTAATTAAATTCCGAAAATGACAATTTTTAACAAATATTTCTCTTTCTTTCTTTTTTAAGGTTTCCTTTCTGTTAAAATGACACTTTTGTCAAGAGCATCACAGATTGATTTGCTTATAGTTGGACGTTTAAAAGAATCGTAAGAGATTTGATTTTCGACCCGCAATCAATTGTCAAGATAAATCAAAAGTTACAGTGGGAAATGTAGGAGGATGTTCGACGATACGATGAAAATACAAAACCAGTTATGAAAATATTAGACGGTACAGACAGTTCCATTATCGAGCGACCTGGTGACCTCTTGTCGAGGAATTGATTATTTCAGGAGAGGTAGCACGAATAAGTGGTAGTTAAGGAGACGTAGTCCGCGATGGAGAGTCGCTCAGACAGTATAAAGGATCCGATTTATTATCCATCGATGCAAGAGGTCGTAGAAGGAAACGAAACGGCAACGGAAACCGAAACGACCGACAAAAGAAGCAGAAGTTCCGCTGGTAGCCAAGAACTTGGTCTGGAAGAGAATAACGCATTGAAAGTGCCGCGCAAATTTATCGCGAACTGGCGACAAGCTTGTGATCGTACACGCGACAGAACGAAAGATTTGTTGAAGAGATGGCGAACTGTTTCGACTAATGTCGATGAAATCGTTAATGATCCTGTTTCGAATAAACAATTGGAACATCCTAGTTGGAGCGTACACGTTTGGAGTAAGATTTTGTCATTTTTGTTCACGAAGCATGAACGTTAGATATAACAACAGAACTTAAAATATGATAGACCAGATTTGAATGGATAAAATAAAGGCGGTAAAAACATAGAGAAACACAGATATTATTTTTATTACATACATATGTAGGTATATTACAAGTCTCCATACGCAAAGTATGCGTTAATATATGTGTTTATAGTTTACGCTATTATTATCAGAATATCATTTTACATTAACCAAACTTTTTTCTTTTTCTTTTGTTTTCTTCTTTGTTTCTCCTTTATATTTTCGGTAAAACAGCAACATGGGTGAGTCGATATCCAAGCGACGAAAATCTGATCGCTATAGAAGAAGCCAGGAGGGGAGGAAAGTTAAAGGATTTAGCGCCCATTCAACGCGACAAGTTTTCACATTTTTTCACTTATCTTTTGGACCACGATAGAGATGGTTTTATTAATCGAAAAGATTTTCGAATGCTTTCAGAGGTATATATACAAATAGACCTTATATATATAATCGATAATATATAATATATTTTATCGAAAGATATATGTTAATAGTTCAATATTTTTATATATATTATCGAAAGATTTATGTTAATAGTTCAATATTTTTGAAAGCGACTGAGAAGATTCGCAGATTGGTCATGGAACGGGCCCGAATATTTACGATTAATAGAGGCCGAACAAGGACTAGCGGACTTAATCTTCCAAGAGAAAAAGAAGGAAGGTGACCAAGGAAAGATCAGCCTGGAGGAATGGTTATGTTGGTGGGCGCGCGTTGTCGCACCAGCTGGAGGCGCATCTTACAATGACATTCCATTTTGGTTAAAAATTTTGCCACGAATATTTTTTCTTGCTATCAATAGCTCAGTGAATGGAGTGATTTCGAAGAAAGAGCTTGGCTCGTTTTACGGATCAGTCGTTGGCCTAGATTCTGATAGGATCTCCAAATGTCTGGATATGGCATATAATTCCGTGACGTCGGTAATAAGCTATACTATACTGTACTATATTATACTATACTGTACTACACTACGCTATACTATAAAGGAATACTACGCTATACTACATATATGATAGATATTTTTTACGGTTGATATTATTGTTAAGATTAGCATGCGTGAAAATGTAGGAGGATAAAAGGAAATTATGGGAGATGCATAATAAGAAGAAAAAATCAAGAGTGCATGAAAGAGAGTGGGAAAGGGTTTGATGATTGGTGGGACGGGAATAAAATAGTGCGACGTAAATAGGCAAGGGAAATATTAAAACAATTAATTTTTGCATTTTCTTTAGAACGGAGACCATCGTCTCGGTTGGCCACAATACCAACTCGTATTCGCCAACTTTTTATTCGGTCGCGGTCCGTTCGGACCAGGAGAACATTTTCTCGGTATGACAGATTCCTGCTTAATTCGGGGCAATAACGTACCATTTCCGATCGATTATTCTGCGATGAATACACCAAAAGATAAGTTGGAAGTATACAGACCGCATTGTAGAAGTGCTCGACGTAGCGTGGTAGTTTGAAAAATAGCCACGCAGGTAAAATAGCCGGTAATCACTATAGAAGTGATAACGAGTGCCAGATACGAACAAGCGTCAGTGACGTGTTTCAATAAGGGTCAGTTAGAAAACTACTTTATGCAAAAATATATTAATATATTCAGAACATCTGATATTTTATTCCCTAACATACAGATGAATTAGTTTATACATGGTGTTGTCTACATATATGGTGAGAAAGTATTTGGCAATCGTTTCATTTGTTTCTTAAACTGTGTGCAAACAATAATTGATACGTTAATAAAATATGTTAAATGGAATTTGTTGTGAATGAGAAAAATATATATATAATGATGCAAAGGAAATAACGATGAATCGAACACGAATCGATTTCGTATATTGATAGAAATAAGGCGCAACGCAACGCAACGCAACGCAACGCAACGCAACGCAATATACGATTCGATAGATAAATGCAGCATTTCCTGATTCTTGCACCTTTCCTTAGATAGTTTTCGCCCATACTGCTACTACGAACGATTCGATATCACACTCATTAGTTCCTCTTTGAATTCGAAACAGACCGCTCTCGCCCCATTGCTGACCCCAAGAGTTAACGACCAACTGGAGCAAAAAATTCGTTACGTATTATTTATCAGTACGTAGTCGTTTCAATGTGAGGGTAGAAAAATAGGTAGAAGAATTAGAGGAGCCTTACCCAATACTTAATTGGTAAGTTGCGATAACGATGCGCGGACGTATCTTCCCCCCATCCGATAATCCTAACCGAATGATAGCCAAATGCATAGTGTTCGGTGGTTGCTGTGTGTTTATATATTCCGGATTCATAAGAGAAAAAGTCTTGATAAACTTTCATGGTTGCTAAAAGTATTGTCGTCGTTAGATCTCATCGACCTCTTTGTTAAGTGTTTGCGAATAAAGAAAAAATGTCAGATTTACAAGAAATCACTTACCCTGCACTGGTCCAGATGTTAAAATTTCGTACATAATATCGGTTTCGTTGCCTAACCGATAAGCCGGCCCAACTTTATATAATTCTGTTCGAAGTGGATTTACCGGAGGACGACAACCGGCAGTCTTCAAGTCTGTTCTCTTTCGCAACTTGCATTGTACGTTCGTGCCTTCCCATGGATAACAGTCTTCGTCGACTAGGCTAAGAAGTGAAATCGCAGAAAAAGAAAAGATAAAAATCAGGTAGCCGAGTAGTTATAGTATCTGTACACTTATACTGTACTGTATACTTATATGTATACTACTTATAGTAGTTGTAGTATCTGTAGATAGAGTTGCGAAAAGATTGGTGCATAAAAAACATAGCGTAACGATGATTTAACCAAGAATTACCCGAATTTTCGCATGTATAGCCAGGCTCTGTCCAAATAGCCGCCGCTGCAAGCTTGCTGTCCTCTGTTGTTACACGAGAGTAAATGCTGTGCGCTGAGGAGGACGCTATCGGCTCCCTTACTCATTAAGGCAAATCTGTCTGAAGCGACGCGTGTCGTAGAAATAGCCCAGGATGCGCCGCACCAACCTTGATCGTCTATGTCCGAGATCTCTCGAGGCCAACGAATCCTGGCGTCGAACTCTCGTGGTAGGGACTCCGGATCGTAAATCCGTTGCACGGAATTCATTCTGTAAACCTTGGATGCCCGATGGACGCAACGGTTGATCGAATTTGCTCGAATTGATCGCATTCGAATCGAAACGAATCGAAATTACTGAAGTAAACATCGAAGAAATTTACGCTTCTTACCGATCGTGACGGATTTAAAGTACCCAAGCGCAGTTTCACACCTTCGTCTAACGTTCTACCCCAAAACTCGGAGTAATTTCGTGCCCTCCAACTCAAATCCTGCGAGTTGATCTCATCTATTAGTTCTGGGGTTTGCAAGCATCGATGCTGTTCGCAAAATACTTCCGTGTCTCTACCCATTACCGTACATTTGCTGAAAGATCGTACATGTATCGTTGATGAGTTTACCGAAATTAAGTATGCGAATCTGTTAAGCGTTTGCGATATACAAAATAAATATACCATATATTGCAATTGATTGTAAATGTTTGGTCTTGGTTGTAATATTTCCCCTGGAAATAGCAACCTGAAACAAGCAATTGTCTATGAATAGTTCTGTCTCGCTGGAAAGGATCTTCGAATAGACTATTGTTAGTTACGAACGTCTTGTTTCTTGCGGCGGTGGTAGAGTGATGTTGGGTTCGATTCCTTTGCAGTGGCTCCAATAATCTGGACAACAATCTTCTTGTTTTTCTCGGTTGCAAAAATCATCGCAGTAACAAACGGTGCTGAGAATCGGAGTACTACACTCGTCCTGACGACCTGTACAACAATCGCCTAGTGGATACCATTTGGCGCAATAAGGACCTGCCGGCAAGTCCGAAAAATCGGGGATCCCATCGACGATCGACGACACCACAGCCAGAAGAAAAATACCGCACGCTGAGCCTTTCCAGGATCGCATTTTCCACGCGTTCGTCGTTTCCTGCAATCGATTCAACGTTCGCATCTTTAGTGGCATTTCTTTGCTGGCCTTATCTACCCTTATGACTCTTCATCCTTGACGAAATCAAGCGACTTACTTAAACGGAAAACAATGATCGATATTTTGATCGATTTCGATCTCAACGGTACTAAATTGCGTAAAATGCAAGTAGGAATTTCTCGTTCTCGTTCTTGTTTTCGCTTTTGTACGTAATCTTCTGCATTATTGGGTCAGGTCCATGGGACTAGGCAGCAATTGGCAGTGATTAACGGTTGCAATGCCAACTGTACGTAAAATCATCGGATATCTTTCTGGAACCATTTCAAACGTTTTCTCTTTCTTCCTCGTTAAATGTCACGCGCGGGTATTCTCTGTTTCACAAACGGAATAGAAGTAGGTCGCGATTTGACCGTGAAACAGTGGAACGAAAAATCGCGCGATTTGTTCGCATTTATTAGATAACGATGACAATAGCGTCGGGGCTGGCGACGATAAAACGGATCGTCAAACGCATCGAACGATCAAGCGTTTGTAGACGCTTGTTATCGAACGCAGTTTATTGCATTATAATATTAATGGAATTTATCAGACTGGAACGTGTCATGTTTTACGTTTATTTCCTTTCATATACATAGACGTATCACCATTAGCGATTGTTCGAGCGTTCGAAATTTTCGCAGCACAAAATAATACACATTTCGCGTTAAAAACTTTCGAATCTTCGAAGCGAATTCTACTTATGACTTCTACTTTACGTTGTATATCGAATAGATACGCACGACTCGACCGTCGCATCGTCGATCTTGACCCGTTTTTAGTTTCATTAGAAACAGACTGAGAATGACAAGTATCTGACCGAGAATAAACGGTTCACGTAATTTGAAAATTAAGGGCAATTCTATTCGAATATCGCGATTTCAGCTTTGCACTCGAGAAGATGTCGCTTTTCGGTCTTAATACTCGATTCAATAATATGCGACATGTAAACGTCAGCGTATACTATCACGACCGATCTCATATGTAACTATGAAAACGCGCGTGACGCATAATAGTACGTCTAACATTTTATCGGTTGTATCATACGCTCGCGTTCAACATTCTATTATTCAATGAATGCAGTCAATGGAAAAGTATGCAACCTTTCATGGATGACAACAACGATGACGATTAAAATGAATGCATTGACAAAAAATTTGTTACGGTGAATGAGAGAAATGTTCCAATTGTATTGAACTCGATACAGCATACGCGATTCATTCAATTGAGCATCGATTGACATGATAGGTAATCTTATAAAGGAAGATGATCTTGTCCATTATTTGGTTTCAAGCGATTATGCATCGTGTTGAACGCAACATGTCAATGTATGTGTAATCATTCGTTTCCGATAAACCTTGGCTTTTGGTCATATCATATCGGAAACGCGCGTAACGTAACGTTTTATACCTATACATGTACAATATATACACACGTATATTAATAAAAAGACAAGTAAGACGATACATATAAAAATTACTCGAATTATTCGAATATCGTGTAACGCGGGAAAAACGATCGGGAAAAATCGCGCGAAATCGACATGCCGTAGCATTATTAATCTTGTTAACAGTCGTTAAATTTTCCCAGCAAGAAAGATTGAAAGAATTAGAAAAGTAAGCGGTATATAATTATAGTGACTCGTATGCGATCGGAGGCTATTTTAAAAATAACTCAATTGACGAAAATCGAGGTTAAAGAAAGAGGTTAATGGGCGCCGTATATTTTTACACGAATTTCAACGCTACAGGGTGCAAAGATTACTTTTATCGATAAAACAAACGAACGTACGTTCCATCGATGTGATCTCATGCGTCGGCAAATTTATTGTTTGATATTCTTCCAGCCATTTATTCGATATTTTCTTCAGGCCTGTATACGTGTATCGTTCTCGATCCGACAGATTTTTCTTTATCGGACGATCAACTTTCCGTCGATTTGGACGCGTAATTGCTCCACGAAATAATACCTCGTGAAATACGAATCGATTCCCCCTCTTTTTATCTCATCATTTTTCCCCCATCGAAGCACTAGGTTCGCAAGCATTGCGCTTCTTTAAGATTTATATTAAACATGATCCGTTTAACGTTGCTAAAATTAAACCAAGTTTCACTTTCCAAATTATTCTCTTTCCTCTTCTTCCACCTATCTTCCTCCTACCTCTTCCGACCCTCAACCTCAAACGTCTCTTTCTCTACCGATTATTTTTTCTTTTCCTTTTTTCTCTTCTTCTTCTTCATCATCCTCTTCTTCTTCTTCTTCTTCATTTAATCTGTTTATCGTAAGACGTGCCAATGCTTATACGTGATCTTTCAAATTGTTGACGCTAAAAATAACGCGAACGTCATATTAAAGCGTAGGTATATGCCCATTGTCCCAAATTCCGATCGTTTTCTTTACGTTATGTATTTGGAGTAAGAGTTGTGTGATCGCAACTATCGATGATATAGTTTCGGTGCACGATATCATCGATTTGTCGGAACATCCATGCAAACGTCAAGAATTTTATGCAAATCGATGTTCACTTCTCTATCGTAAAACAGTAATTCGATTGATTTGAAATTATTCGAAATTACTCACTTCATTTCCATGCATATACACGCGTATAGGTACGCACGCAACGTGAATGAGATAATTCTTAAACGTGAATGACAACAGTATAATTTTCGTATTCATGACAGGTACGTTTGTTTAAAAACGTGCTCCGAATCGTTTACGATAGACTGTTACGCAACAAGATGTTTGCACATTGTATATACAAGATGTTTCGTTCCACTGATGATTCAAAATCATTTGACTTACCGCGTTTTCGTCTATACAAATTTTGTTTCAGATCGACTGTCCCGATTTTACAAAGGAATTTCACACGAAGCAGTCGCTCAGGCGAATATGTAATTATAATTTCCCGAAATCGCGATATAAACGTTAATTTTCATTAGCACGAACAATTTGAATCCGCGATCATGAGTTGAGATAAATGCAATTGAAATATCGATCATAAGATAATCAACAAGAAGAAAATCACGTTCCACCGATATTTGGGTAATTGACGATCGTCAAATGTTTTGTAGCAAAGTTTCACTTACTCGTGGTTGGAAGAGATTTTCTGATCCGAAGAAACAGCAAACTTCTTGGACTTGTTTTTGCGATATCAACAAGCATCTGCTTTGTGGTACTCAGCAGTAGTAGACGTCTGTGAGAAACGGTCCTGGTACACGTTTAAAAATCTTTGATCGTTTTACAGTAAAACCAACGACAGATGTTTGAAAGAAAGAAGGAACGAAGGAAGGAATGGCAGGAGGGAAACAAGGAAGAAAGGAAAGGGAAAAGGAAGGAGGGAAGGAAGGAAGGAAGGAAGGAAGGAAGGTAGGAAGAAAGGACGATTGGAGGAATGAGAATAAGAAAATCAAGGAGAGATTAGAATGATAAAAAAAATTGGCTGTATTCAAAGGAGAAAGGTGAAGTAGACTTGGATGTTGGTGCAAATCTGACGAACGCGAGTCGTAAGGTAAATTCAAAGTTACGCGGACTTGCGATTGGAAACAATTGGAGAAGATCTGTCGGTGCTGGCGGCTCGAAAGCGAGAGCTTAACTGGCCCGCGAATACGCTAGGTAAACGCGAACTAAATGCCTAGTCAGCCCGTGACTGCGTACCATGGTATATCGCGATTCGGTTTCCTCTTGATTATTTACCGGATCTCCTTGTGACTTCTTCCCCGAAGATTCGTCATTGCTTGAATATTCAAAGGTCTACGATTAAACTCCTGGTGAACACTCGTACGTGATCGTCGTAGATACCGCGTGATTCTATTTCATTCGATTAGATTCAATAATTCAATTCGTTATGATTACGTTCAAGTCAAACAATTTCTTAAACGGATAACTTTCAAGTTCAAAATATTCGGCTACGCTTCTAATATGAGAAATTATATTCTTTTTCGGACCGATCAATTTCTTATCGTTAATTATCTTTAGAGGGAAAGGCATATCTAACTTTTTACAGAAGATGGGCAAAATAAAAGAAATACCACAATTTTTAATGTGCGCAAAGAATAACAAGTACTAAAAAAAGGTACCGAGAAACCAGGGCTCGTCCGGGATTTGAACCCGGGACCTCTCGCACCCTAAGCGAGAATCATACCCCTAGACCAACGAGCCACATGTACGTTTGATCGTAAATTTCCTTAATATCGTGAATAAAATTACACGAATGTATATCAAAATATAGATATAATACGCAACATTAACTTTGTAACGTGATAATATATTATTATATATATAACCATTTATGTACATGTAAAATGTCTATGAGCTTTAATTACGACGTGGAATATCGTAATATGTTTTAAGGGATTCAAATACTTAATTAACAGTAAAACATTAAATATATTAAATCATATTATTTTAATTCAGGTAAATTGAAGTTTTTGATCAGGTAGGGACCAACTAGGCGCCGTGGCTTAGTTGGTTAAAGCGCCTGTCTAGTAAACAGGAGATCGAGGGTTCGAATCCCTCCGGAGCCTTTGGTTGTTCTTTAGATATTATATTTTTTATATGCACTGTATTTTAATAATATGATTTATGGTACTATGGTATGTTTGTGTCGTTTTCTTTTCTACTATCTAGTTTTTTTTCTTTTTATAGATTTACATGTGCATATTCGTTGTATCTGTAAATAGGAGTTCGCTTCCATGTGCAACGCTATTTAAAAGTCGAAAAAGTAAATGTTATTCCGTGAAATAGATCGATCGTCGATTTTTTTCATTTCATTACATTTTTTGATACATTTTTTTATTATCAAGGAGATAGGAATCCCTTTGGTAGACCGCCGGTATTTCACCAAACAACGATTGAGTGATCGATATTGAGAAAGTGTTCCATGGCAACGTAATACATATGTATGTAGTAAGCGGATGAGAGAACTGTGTATGATCAAGGTGAAACCATTTGATCGACTATCAGTAACTCTCGTCGTGTGTCGTTTTAGTAAGAAAAGAGGATAAGATGGGAAATACGGAGAGCAATGTAGCCAGCGGAGTAAAGAAACAAACGGACGCATCTTCTATCTTGCTTTACAAATTAGTCGACATGAAAGGTAAGTTGAATCATAGACGAGAATGATGAAAGCGAAACGTCTTCTTAATCTTGTGTAGGAGGTGGTTTATTGGTAAATATGATGAAAAGGGCAACGCAAACTAAACAGTACGCGGAATTGGACCATGCTCTAAGAACGAAAGTAGAACCGTATTTATACAATAAGGGTAGAGGTAAATGGATTCCAATCGAAAAGTTGGTTTTGCTGCGAAACAAGGATCGTCCGAAGCACAAAATGGTAGAACGATATACAATTAGACATCATATGATATAGATGAATAATTAGCTTGAACGTTTTTTTATGAATGTCTTTTTATTATGAATGATCGATTACGTAACAGCTTCCACCGTTGAGATCTATGGAGAATCCTGCCGATTACGACATAGACAAAGATATGCAAAATGAGGATGAATTGGACGAGACAAAAATAGGTAAACGATCGATAAAGACGATAGAGATGTAAATTTTTAACACATTTCTTTCGATTTAATAGATAAAAGCAAGTACAGACTAGTCTGTTGGAGCTTAGGTGAAAGAGGAGCAGTCGGTGAAACGATTTTACACTTGTGCATGTTACACTCGACTGCTATTCACATTGATCTGGCTAAACGTTTATTACGTTTTTACCCTAAGCTTATCAACGATGTATATATCAGTGATGAATATTACGGTTAGTAAGTATGATAAACGCGGTGAACACGATGTAAACGAATAAATTCGTTTCGCGTCAGGGCGCATCGTAAATTCATCTGCTCGCTTGTTCTTGATAGGTGAGAGCGCATTACACATCGCGATAGTAAATGAAGATCCAGCATTGGTAAAATTCCTCTTGGACAGCGGTGCGGACGTACACGAAAGATGCGTGGGGAACTTTATGTGTCCGGAGGATCAAAAAGCGTCGAGATCGGACAGCCTGGATCATGAATGGGTTTGCGTAGCTCCGGAAACGGATTATAGCGGGTAAAGAAGATTTACTCGAGTGGAATACAAATGTCGAGTGACTTTCGTTCTATTTGCATAGATACGTTTACTGGGGCGAGTATCCTTTAAGTTTCGCCGCATGTTTAGGGCAGGAAGAATGTTACAGATTAATACTCGCCAGAGGAGCGGATCCCGACAAGCAAGACACAAATGGAAATACTGTTTTACATATGTTGGTCATCTATGAAAAACTGGTAAGCATCTGCCACAGGACTAACCCGGAAATGGCAAAACCAGCAATAAGTTTATTCGATCGATTGTTTTTCCGAGCAAGACTACGTTCGATATGGCATATGAAGTGGGTGCGTCGTTAGCGATCAGAAATGCTCAACATTTAACACCTTTGACGTTATCGGCGAAATTAGCTAGAATCGAACTGTTTTTTCATATCTTGAACATCGAGCGTGAGATTTATTGGCAGATCGGGAGTATTACGTGTGCAGCTTATCCTTTATCGCAAGTCGACACGATCGATGTTGTTACAGGAAGCATCAGTCATAATTCCGCTTTGAATCTGGTGGTATTTGGCGTGAGTCGAAAATCTAAATTACGCAACAGTTTACTTTCTATTTGCCATCCTTTATTGACATACGATATTTCTCATATATGTATAGGAAAAGGACGAACACTTGGAGTTGATGGACGGTGTCCTGGTCGATCTACTAAATGCCAAGTGGAACACTTTCGTCAAGTCTCGGTTCTATCGTCAATTTTTTCTTTTTTGTTTCTACTTTATTCTATCATTGATCAGCTTTACTCTTCGACCCGGTCCAACGATAACATCGTCGACTTCCTCACTCGCTGTCACTCCTCGTGTCTCTGTTCCATCCATCGAATCGCCCATAACAACTCTAAAACCAGAGCAATTCCTCCCAAACGTTACCAAAACTTCTCAAAATTTAAATCTATCCCTTCTTCTCGATAAAGCTGTTACCACTGCTTTTACCTCGAATATAAAACATCCTTCGAATGTAACAACGGCAAGCTTTGATAAACTGAAGCTCGATATCGTCACCGATCTAACGTCTATCTTGAACATTTTCTCGACAGACCGATCTCAAAACGAGATCGAATTGCTCAACGATTCTTACAGGATAGCTATTCGACCAGCCGAACATTTCTACTCCAAGAATAACGGTACACCAACGGATTATCTAAAAATTACGACGGTCAACGACAGTGTCGTCTTTATAAATTCGACGATACCTTTCGATAATAATACAGTTTCTCCTGGTAGTAACAAACACAGCTGGTACGTTATATAATATGCGAATAATCCCGGATCAAATCCGATTAATACAAAAATACAAATTTCAAAATGTTTACTAGCGACCACGTATACGTCCAAGATGACTCTTAATGCATATTTTCGATATTAGGTGGAACAATCTCACAGAAAAGTGTAGACTGATGCATCTAACAACATTATCTGCCAAGATTCGACTAATCGCCGAAATATTAATGGAGATTGCGGCTATTCTTTATATTATTGCAGCATTGCGCGAAGCCAGATTTCTCGGTCTTAACATGTTCATTGAGAATCTAGTAAGAGGATGATATCATCTGTTCCTTTATCAAGCGCTTTTATCTGAAAAAGAAAACGTTTAGTAAATAATGCGTCTAATATTGGTTCCTTATCAATGAAATTATCAGGTAGAGAACATAGAGAGGAAAGGAAAAGGAATGAAGAAAAAAGACGGTGTTTCGTTGATAAACCGATAGACCGCACAAATTTCAGTACGCGGTTACAAATTAAAATATTGTACTAACGAAAAAAATTAATTTCTAGATGACTGCGCCGTCGCGAGTAATGTTCCTCTTCTCCTGTTGTATATTACTGTCCTTTCCATTGCTGAGGTTGGCTTGCGCCGATCAAGTTGAAGATATGTTGGCAGTTGTAGTGATGTTAACGACGGCACCGTATTTTTTATTTTTCTGCAGAGGTTTCAAAACGGTCGGTCCGTTTGTTGTAATGATTTACAGAATGATCATGGGTGATTTACTCCGTTTCGTCTCCATTTATTTGGTCTTTGTAATGGGATTTTCTCAAGGTAACTTGAAAACAAAGTTCTTCTCTCTGGAAGAATTTTTCCATTACACATTCTGTCCCTTTCGCACCTCTACTTTGACCAGAATCTTTTAACATAAATGCGATAACAGATACATCGTATCGCGTATCTCTCGTATCTTTTGAACATAGATCACGGACAGAAATAAACTTACGATCGATTCGTGAGAATCAACCGGTCAATTAGATCGAAACGTGCGAGTAAATATACCAATGACGCTTCTTCCTCTTCCCTTACAGTCGTTAATCAAAGTGTAACGATATCGAGCAAATTACGAGTTTACCTTCACCTTATGACTTAATCTCCCGTCTGGGAATTTCTACATCGCAAGCGACATTGACACATATTATTACGCTGGTATATCATACATTCTGAAACGTAACAAATTTACATATCGTAGGCATCGAGCCAACTTTATACATACTTACCAACTTGTAACACTTATACCGTGATACATTATTACATAGATAGTATTGCATACAGTATTACATAGTCGTAGACATTATCTCTTATTTACTTCTAATATTACGTATTTACATACTACATCTATATTTTTCATATTTCACTTCTCTAATTTATTTTACAATGCCTATCAAAAGATTGTCTTTTCTTTTCTTGCCTTTCCTTTCTTCAGCATATTACATCATATTCCTATCTTTCGATAATCCAAACACACCAGAAGGAGTAGATGATTCGGTGAGCAACCCAATGCCGTCGCCGGTAGAAAGTATAATGGCAATGTTCCTTATGAGCATGACGAACTTTGGAGATTACTATGGCGCGTTTGAGAGAACGCAACACGAGATGGAAGCTAAGGTAATTACCTCGCATCTACTCTTCTAGTGAATATATGACTGCAATAGAAACATTCATTGTGTCGTAGTTCTTATTTGTGGTATATATGGCAATCGTTGCCATATTATTGGTAAATATGTTAATTGCTATGATGGGAAATACATATCAGAAAATCGCGGAGACAAGAAACGAATGGCAAAGACAAGTAAGTTTTTCTTTCATCCCCTACTTTTTCCATTTATAGGAATATTTATTAATTATTATTCAGTTATTAATACTGGAATTAATATCACAGTGGGCACGTATAGTTTTGGTAGTAGAAAGAGGAGTAAGTCCACAGGAAAGGCTTAAAAAATTAATGGACTATTCGCAGCCAATGTCCGATGGTCGAAGGGCGTTAGTACTTCGATTGAGTCAATCGGTAAAAAAATATCTCTATATACATATGTGTATATTATGTAAATACACATGTGTAACGAATGATTATAGTTGTAAAAAGTGAAACATTTTTAGGAAGAAGACAAGGAAGAAATGAAGGAAATTTTAGAAATGAAAAGAACTCATGATAGATTGTATAAAAAAAGACAGAGCAAAGTAACAAAAAAGACCTTAACATCGGAAGACAATACTATTTTGTAATATTATCACAGATGTCTCGTCTGTAGCATATGTTCCCAGTCGTTTAATATATTGAGATACTTTGTTGATATAAAAACTGCATCTTACATACAGTATACATAATAAACTCTTATGATTATGATCTTTCTTGACATTCTTGTACGTAAATTTCCTCTTATACTCAAGGAAGATACATACATATGTATGTACACGTACCTATTGATAAAGCAGAATTGTATCCATAGCAAGTTGCTATAACAACTGTTTACTATGACTAATAATAAATATTTGTTAGCTTCTTGTTTTGTCTATCGTGCTGTCTAAAGGACGGAATATTTTTAAAGTTTCCTACTCTGTACAAATGAGCAAATTAAGATCACCCATAAATTATAAAAATATGGAATTAGAACTTCTACAGGCTCTTAGTGCGGATAAGCTATACAAATTACAGAATGATGCTAAACTCAGAGCAATAGAACAGAATGTGCCTACGTATGAAGATTTTAGACAATTGGTATAAGAGCATACTTTTATCGAAAATATCATTATTTATATATCTAATATAAAATAATTTCTCCCATATCGAATCTGTCACCAGGTGAATGCTGCTCATCTAAAACCTTTAAAATGTGACGATGTAAAATCTAAAATAAAGAGATGTTGGAATCCCATTGTTCATATTGATAATTCGAATGTGGTAATGCCATTTGAAAAACAAGAAATGCAACAACAACAATCCGAAGATCGTTTAAAATTATGGAGTAAGAGTGATAATATTTCTGCAAATGAAATACCCACCACATATGTAAAATTTATACAAGTTTGGAAAACTATTAAAGGGCATAAAGAAAAATTTCATTATCTCAAAATGTCCAGGTAAGATATTCCTTTTTAAATCGAACAAGAATAGGAAATGAATGCATCTAACTTGTTATTTCAGGTATACTCTACGGGAGAAAATTTTTTGCACAGAAATTTCTCCATCGTTGTTCGTCGAAATAATCGACATATGCTTTCGAAATATCTCGATTACGGATAATATAGAGTTTATTGTTGACATTTTATGCACTTTGAGTAAATGCAATAGATTTCATTTAACAGTAAGTTTTATGGGACAAAACGAAAAAGAAATGTGTACGCAACTCTTTCGAAATCTACTTATCAACGCGGTATATCAAGACGAGATTTTTAAGGATACGATTAAATCATTAGCATTGCTTTACGAAGTCGTACTTGAGTAATAAATTTTAACGAGAGAGATTAACGAGTTTTATAATAAAAATATTTTACGAGTTATACGCACGTACGAAATAAACTTATGAAATTGAGCTTATGATTTTTTACATGTATATAAATTCTAAAAATGTTGAAAATTTATTTCAAACGGTTCAAGGTATAATATAGGCATGCGTCTAGAAAACCAAGCGAATCACGTGATCATAGAGTACTTAACATGGCCGCACGCACTGTAATATCAGTTAGAAGTATCGCGATCATAGTTGATTGACAATTAGTTTGAAGATCAATCGAAATTCCGAAAAATTTGAATTTATTTTTGTCTTGAACTGAAATGCCTCGAAAGTTTCATACTCAATATTACTGTTGTCGTTTGAATAATATTTCGCGATGCGTACACGTACGTACGTGGGAAAAAGAACATTGTGCATGTATGCATGAATGTCGCATGTATGCACGCATTTCGTAAATAAATAAAACAATTAAATCATTCGATAGAATGTCAATTGACGGTGTTATTTTAAATGTTAATTAAACAAATAAATAGAAAATGTTAACCTATCGAAAATCACGATTCTATTTAAGCAAGGTCTGAAGTAAGGTACAAAATACACGTAAATACCTGTATATGTACAGGTATATTTAGATGGTGTAACACTGATATCATGTGATGTATATAATACAATGGTTAAAGAAAGCCAGTGAGAATTATCCTTAGCATGTTTTGTCACTGAAAAAATATAAATGGAGCTATATGTATGTGTGTGTATGTTTGTACGTATGTTTCTATGTATATGATGTACATATATGTAAAGAATATACATGACACGCGTGGTGCATATATAGCATACCATAAAGATAGATATACATAATACATAATAGTAATAGTTGTGTACCTGTGGTAAATGGGAAAGAAAATTTATCGAGTGATACGTGAAAAAAATATGCGGTTAGAAGAAATGCCATTACGTTTGAGCTCTGATGAGCGGGATTTTGAAATGGATGAAGAAACTGACTATCTTCTTCAACCTTCTGAAGATAGTATACGACTTTTAACTTCACGAAGACGGCGAATAAACGATTTTTCTATATTCCTCAAGAACTGTCTTTGTGGGTAAGTTATAGATTCGATAACCCATCATTAACTTGAACAAAAGATTGAATAGAAACAAATGTGATACTCGATCAACGAATTACTAGCTGCGTATTAATTCTACTGGTAGCCAACATAACAAATGATAAAAATCCATCGAAATTACGTAAATAAATGTGTAAATAAGTCTTTAAAAAATGGAAAATATGAGAAAAGAAAAAAGAAACGAATAGGATATCACGTGAAAATTTCCCATCAAAATATATCTTATCTACCCATCGATAAACGATATCGTAGTAACAAGTTTCAAAATGTTTGCATTTCCAAATATACGTATTTAATAGTGTCTTTCTATTTTTAATAGCGTATAATTCGAAAATACATCATATAATTGTACTGATGCGTCTATATTTATACAATACTTTTCAAATCTTATTTGTGAAGAGTACGTATTATAACAACAATTTTTTTTTGAGGTCAGTCTATTAAGGGTTACTAAAAATACATATATACATAATTGATAGAGAACAAAAAAAGCGAGCAAATTAAACATATTTGAACATAGTATATGTAAATAAATTTTGCATGATTTTACTCACAGTGAGAAAAGATAAAAAGAATGCGAAAAATATAATAAATGGAATACATCGGTATAGTAGGTTTATAGATTGGCGAATTCATCTTGTAAATTCGTACTTCGTGGATGTTATGATGTCATAACAGATCTGTGTTGAATATCGAAAGATACTTTTTGACAGTGTTTTTTAGCGAAAGACTGAATAAAAGTGTTTCTTTACCTAATTTGTGATTACAAATGTGTCTGCTGTGTCTACAAAGAAATATCTAAATGGAGACACAAAGCAATGTTATAAGGCTATCGAAAGAGGATATTCCTCTAATATCTAGACCGCGAAATGACAATTCGTGGACAAGGTGACGTACATTTTACTTCCCCTAAGAAACTTCGATTTCTATGCAGCTTTTTCTATTTTTCTCTAAATTCTTGCTAAATAATTAAATAAATATTGCTAATTATTTCCAAGATGTTCGATTTCAACATAGTAATTATGTTAAATTTATGTTCATATTTCATACAACAATAAACACATATCTCTTCATTGACATTGTTGTATCCAAAGTCTGAATATTCTTTTCATAATTTTTCTTATTAATTTAACAACAATATGGTTGTGCAAACAATAAAAAGGTAAAGTAAAAAATTGGCGATGTACTTTAATTTTTTAGTTTTCTACTTATTTATTATTGTATCTTTATAGATGTTGTACATGGATGTGGAGAAGATGTTGCAGAGAACGTGAATTAAGAGCTAGAGTCATTCACATTGGTCAACTGATGCATGAAAAATTTCCTACTAATGTCATAAGAAATCAGAAATATAATATTGTGACCTTTTTACCTCTGGTAAAGAACATTGATAACTATGTCATTTTCTGTCATGACATAGAATAAAAATATTTAATATTTGTTATTTTATCTTTTTAGGTTCTATTCCAACAATTTAAATTTTTCTTAAATCTATATTTTTTGCTTATGGCCATATCTCAATTCATACCAGACATTCGAATAGGATACTTATATACATATTGGGGACCTTTATGTTTCGTGTTAACTGTTACGATTTGTCGAGAAGCGATCGATGACTTCAGACGATACAAAAGGGACAAAGAAGTCAATGCCCAAAAGTATTATAGATTAGTAAAAGGTTTTGATACCCCGGAATTAGTACCAAGTTCTAAATTGAGAGTAGGCGATTTGGTAAGAAAGTAGAAATATAAAATAATCAAATA